TTGCCTTGAGTTAGACTCAACAAGCGTCTTCTGAGCATCAATATCAATTCCAACATGTCGCCCCCTGCCATCACAGTTTTTAAGGCTAAAGTCACCTGAACGAAATTTGCTGAACCATCGTTGACATTTACGAATGCTCAAAACATTTCCATAAACGTCTTTGATATTCTTTGTGGCTACAGAGGTGTTGTTCCCCTTCTTGTATTCAAACAGCATTACATGCCGAATGTGTGCCATCACTGTAAGGGATTAGAATATACTAAACTTTACACATTATATAGGCTACACTAACGTGACGTTTAGGCGGTTCCTTGAACTATCACACGTGATGTACATTTTTTTGGAGGGTGTTTAATGAAAGTGTTCCAAAATGCGACATTAATTTCTTGACGAGCAATAGTAGCATTTTCAGCTGTAGCCACATGATAACAGTGAAAGTCAATCCAATACACAGCTATTCGGTTAAGAGTAGATATGTAGGTAACGGTCGCTGGTGGCTAGTTGAGTCCCTCTGGTCGGAGCACTTCTAGATTAGGAACGGTTACTTCTGAACCTTGGGATCTCTAATCTGACCGCTCAGTTAACAAGGTGCCGTTCAGGTTGAAAATACCAAATACCATCTATCGAATTAATTGAGTAGGTTGTTCTTATTCTTTTTTTGAATTAGTTTATTAAATTGATGTTGTGTTTTGAGTTAATTGGTTAGTTTGATATTAATCTTTGGAGTTGGTTGGTTGAGTTTAAAGTTTATATTATTCTATTTTAAATTAATAATTTAGTTTGATACTATTATCTTTTGAGTTGATAATTTAGGTTGATATTATTATCTTTTGAGTTGATAATTTAGGTTGATACTATTGTGTTTTGAGTTAATAACGTAGGTTGATACTATTGTCTTTTGAGTTAATAATTTAGGTTGGTATTAAAGTGTTGTGAGTTACAGAGTTAAGTTGATATTGCTATTTTTGAGTCACTTTTAACAGGTCACTTTATCATAAGTGCATGGAATAATAGTTACGTCTAGATATAAATGTTACTATAACAATTAAACATTAATGTACAACAATTGTGTATATTATTTCCTAAACTACTTGATCCGATATAATTTTGGTTGATATTCAGATTTTTGACCGAAATTGAGAATTAGCTTCTCACAATTGCTCATTGCTCAGTTTCAGCTGTTAGTTGTAAAACAAGGTTCTTCTCATGTAAGAGGGAATTTGGTTTTGAAGCCCTTCAGTGGCACAGCGGAATGTCTGCGGACTTACAATGCTAGAAACCGGGTTTCGATACCCGTGGTGGTCAGAGCTCAGATATCCCATTGTATAGCTTTGTGCTTAACTTCAAATATACAAACGGTTTTGAAAGAAAAGAGAGAGAAATTTTACTTTGGCTAGCCAATTCAAAACTGATTAATTTTTCGTGGATTTAAATTTTCTTCACTAAAGATGAACCAGCATTAGAAAAAATATTAGATTATATCCTTCCCCCAGTGAGACAACGGTAAATTCACGAACTTACAACGCTGAGATCCGGGGTTCGTTTCTCCGTCGTGGACTGAGCGCAAATACTCCTAAAACAAACAAATTATATCTAGGTTAACCTTTGCACAACTTGTTAAAATATTAAATTATATTCAGGTTAACCTTTCCACAACTTGTAACGATTTAAGTAGTTAACGTTAGAATTATTCAGTCTAGAAAATATATCAGGAGATTCAGTCTGGAATACGATATTGATAGATATAATTTAAAATTTGAGATTACCAAGTTAATACTAACTCTTCCAGTAAAGGTAAGCTGTCTGTTGTGACCAGTTAAGTGTTTATTTTGAAAGTGTTTGTCTTCAGTAAAGATTGTTTATTGTGATTATACGTTTGTGTTCAAATTGTCTTTAATTTATTATCCCCCAGTGGGACAGAGGTAAGTCTACGGACTTACAACACTAAAATCCGGAGTTCGATTTCCCGTGGTAGACACAGCAGATAGCCCAATGTGGCTTTGCTCTAAAACAAACAAACAGAATCTTCAATTCATCATAAAGCCGGTTGTCAGAGAGCATAAAGTTAAATCACAGTAAATATTTGTTCTAGAATCTCCCATTATTAAGCGTTCTTATCTTGTCGCTTTGAATAGAATCAGTCTTACCTGAAAGTACCAAAAGTTTAGCTTAGTTTTTTAATCCTCAGATGAAGTTTTTATCAAAGGATGAACCAACAGCATAGTAAAATACGAACTAGTTAGATTGTTAGCGTAACTTGTTTTCAGATGAAATTTTTTTTATTAAAGAATGTACTATTTCTTTCCTATCAGTGGTATTTGTGATTTATACGTAAGTGAATTTTTGTACTTTTTTCCATTCTCCTTGAATTTACATAAATGTACTTATAAATAATAACTACGAAAGCATTGACAAATGTTCGTTTGTTTTAAAGTTGTTCGCGAATTCTTGAAATCTTACAAGTGTTTGTTTGAAATGAATATTTTAGTACAAACAAAGCATAAGCTTCTAGATTAAACTATTCGTAATATACGTTTCTCCGAAGTCACCATAATTTCTAATATATTTTCATATTTGTTCAACGCAAACTTTGTATTTTAACAAATTAAAACAAATATCACTAATACCATTTCTTTGTTGTAAGATTTACTTACAAATCTTTAAGAGAATGCCAGAAGCAAGAATTTTACATCAATAATTCAGTTAAAAGAAGATTGAGTTTGGTAATTTTTAGAAGATAAAACTAATACAAAAGAAATTTACTACTACAACATTACACAATTTAAAACTGATTTAAAAAACGCTGAAATATTAAACAATATCTTGGCATTTCTTTGAAAATCCACTAGGTGTTCTCAATGGCCAGATATTTGATGTATGTATTTTAGGACAAAATACTGAGGATTTATAAAAGTTCTTCTAGGAGTAGAGAATGTTGACTTAGTTTCACCGAAGAATCTTACGAAGTGTTTGTTTTCAGAACTGTCTGGAGGTCAAAACATTGTATCAGAATAATTTATATAGTTTAATTGTCTGATGGTCGAGTTCTTGTACGTTTGAGCATTTATTGCACTTTGTTTTAACAATGTACTGTTAACAGTCAACATAATTGTATCGGAATTTCAATGAAGAAGATAAAATTTAAGGTCCTTAAATTAAATATCCGTGGTTATATCCAACGTTGCAGCCCAAAATAGAACATCAGAAGGAAACATTTCATGTTTTAAGTCTTTCAATTAAAGATCAGTGGTTATATCCAAGGTTGCAGCCCTAAATAGAACTTCAGCAGGAAACATTTCATGTTTGAAGTCTTTCAACTAAAGATCAGTGGTTATATCCAACGTTGCAGCCCTAAATAGAACTTCAGCAGGAAATATTTCATGTTTGAAGTCTTTCAACTAAAGATCAGTGGTTATATCCAACGTTGCAGCCCTAAATAGAACTTCAGCAGGAAATATTTCATGTTTGAAGTCTTTCAACTAAAGATCAGTGGTTATATCCAACGTTGCAGCCCTAAATAGAACTTCAGCAGGAAACATTTCATGTTTGAAGTCTTTCGCTTAAAGGTCGATGGCTGCATTAAAGATTTATTCTCTAAACAGAGTTTCAACAGAATATCATGTTGATAGTATTTACATTAAAGATAGATGATGTATTCAAAATGACTGTTATTAATAGAGTTTAAACAGAGAAGAGTGGTCGCATTCAACGTTTCTGTTCTTAGCAGGATTTTAACAAGAACATAGTGCTTAACTTCCTCAAAATTAGCAATCAGATGGTACAATCAACATGGATTATACTGGCAATATTCTAACAAATAAGGTAATGTTTAACATATTTAATCGTGGTTAAACATAATGTAGCTCTTCATAGCAGGGTTTTATTAGTGGAGTTGATCAACTTTATTTTAAACATCCATGGTTATGTTCTATGTGGTTTCTTTTAATAAAGTTTCAACATAGAACGAACTCTCTCAAAAAACTTTGACTTAAAGATCGGTGGTTACATGAAGTCTTCTTTGCGGAGTGTCAGCAATGAAGGTGGTGTTTACCGTTTTTAGAGTTAAAGAATGACCATGTTTCCGTCTTAGCGTTTTGTTAGAAAAACAACAAAACAGATACTGCTGAAAATATCCGCGAAAGATTCCACTCACCAGGTACAGTGCAACTGGATTCATGCAGCTGTTTGCAAATGTAAGAACATATCCCACTATTTTGCAGACATGCCAGAAATCATTATAATTTTCCATAGTATTTGGGTAGAAGTAGAACCAGAGCAAGAACATGTGGCTCGGTAAGAAGGATATGGCGAAGAGAACCACAAAAATTAGAACGATTTTAGCAACCTTCACACGAGCCCTCAACTGTTTGACGTGACTATGATTCCTGCCTACCAGATTTTGTGAACTTCGGATTAGGTGGCGTGCCGTTAAACAGTAAAATATCCCAGTGCACAGCAGCGGCAAGGTGTAGAATAGCAAAAACTTAATGAGCACCATGGTGCGGGGATACCAAGGCATCATGTACTCAGGGTATGGATAGCATACAGATATGATTTTTCCCTGCAGATCGAGTTGTAGTATAAAGGCGAAATATGATCCTGGAATGGCCAAGATTACAGCGATGAACCAGATGCTAACAGCAAGCAGAACCGTCAAGCTTTTGGTATGTATGCTGGACTGCTTGCTGAGTGGAAAAACGATGGCAGTATATCGGTCAACACTCAAAGCGACCAAATTCAGGGCTGTTACTCCAACAGACACGTCCCGAAGTAACTCGCTAAGCTTACACACAAACTCACCATATGGCCAGCTTTCGAGAGTGTAAATGGTACTTACAAACGGAACCGTTCCAATGATGACTAGAAGGTCTCCAGCAGTCAAGCTGATTATATAAGTGTTAGGTATACTACGCATTACTTTATGCTTTACGAATATGGCCATCAGTGTTCCATTGCCCAATAAGCCGACCACAAAGATGACAGCAAAGACTATAGGAACAATGTAGGTTTCTGGCCTGTTCTTGTAAGGGACGTAATGTTCAGTATCTGAAGAATTGCTGGAAATGTTCAAGTTTAGAAAAGTGTCGTTTAGAGGACTTTCTGGGCTCATAGTTTGTGATGATTGGCGTTGGTCAAGCAGCTGAAAAGAATTAACATAATTGAATTTGAAATCTAATTTCACTGTTTTATTACTTATACATTAATTCGTCGGTCTATATATATCTTTATGCCAACTTTTATATTATCTATTATAATTACTTTTTTATTTTAGAAACTACAGTAGTTTCGTTCCATTGAAGTACAATCGGAAGAAGCTAGTAGTACTAACATTTTATGGGTTATTTTGATTATTTTCAGGAGAGAGAATAATTTTCTGTAACAGGATACATAAGAACATATTATACGAACTTACAAGCTAGTTCTTTCTTCTTTTAAAGAAGTCTATAAATACACAAGGGCAACAACAGACAAGCAGGTACCTGACTAAGCCAGTGAAACTGTCATATACTGTTTTAGAAAACACATTATGTATTACTTTAAGTTTCATATCGGATCCCCATTTTTTTTTACCTTTTTGCAATTTATTGTATAAAAATGATTGATGTATGTAAAAAATACCTGTCCTAATAGAACCAAAATACATAATATTTATGTGAAAATATGAGGCATCCATCTTGAATAGTTCTGATTTTGCACACCTATTGTCTAAGAATTTAATCCTGACGGAGTTTTCCTTTCCATAGATCACTCATATATATATATATATACACACACACATATATATATATGATAATTCATTAATAATGAACATTATGCATGATTGTAATTGTATGTTTCCCGAACTTGTAGTAGTGACTGACAAGCATTTCGATGAATCGGTTTTTCAACAACAAAACTGTTTGCTCCACTGAAGCAAGAGGTTGTACGTAAAAATCCCACGTATTATTACCAGGAACGTCATTCTTGCTGTCAGACATACATTATTGTCAACAGACTTTTCACGAAGCGAAAGAGTAGAGGAACCAAAAGTGCATCATTTAGGCAAGCTGCAGCTCTCTAATCGCAACAAACCAGAATGTTGGTTCATGTAAGCCTGCTGCCAAGTTAACTACTTGCCTCCACTGCCAGATTGTACCAAGAACCAATGTATGCCCACTCAGGCTAGTGACAAACGTTTAAAGCTGCTGAAGTAAAGAGAGGCCAGAGAGTAATTATTCCAATAAGAGGATAAAACGTGATAGTCTTCGAGGCCAAGTTCTGAAAGTTGTAGAATAAAAATGTCATACCAACTCAAGAGGAAAGTATATAAAATTAAAAACGATTTTCTGAGTATGGAGCAGACCAAGTAAAACTAGAAAAATATATCTCACAAATCTTGTCAACATAACATTTGCCATTCTTGAAATGAATGATCTCTGAAATATAAAAATGGATCTTTTGATATATTATAGCACAGACACCAGGTTATCGCACTGAAAAAATTAAAATTAAGATCCAGTGTTATTTTGGAGATAAAATGACTTTTTGGTAGTTAAATAGCACAAGGGAACTTGAGACTGTACATTCCAGGAACGTTCCAATTAGTTTGGTTTGAATTTCGCGCAAAGCTACACGAGAGCTATCTGCGCTGGCCATCCCTAATTTAGCAGTGAAAGACTAGAGGAAAGACAGCTAGTTATCACCACCCACCGCCAACACTTGGACTATTATTTTAGCAACGAATAGTGGGATTGATCGTCACATTATAACGCCTCCACGGCTGAAAGGGCGAGCTTCTTTGGTGGGACGGGGATTCGAACCTGTGACCCTCAGATTGCGAGTCAAACGCCCTAACCACCTGGCCATGCCGGGCCGTTCCAATTTGCCAGTTAGTGAAGTTAGCATTGTAAAAGCAGATGAAGATCACAAAATTCCACAAACACCTCAACCTATAATGTATTTATACGTGTTCAGATCATCCTACAGAGCTCTTGGCAATTTACAACATCATGTAATGGCCAGCCCCTCTGAAATGCTTTGCAGTGAACAAAATTTGTGTTTCTTCTTTCGTGTACAATCTGTTGGCATGATTCATCAAGAAAAATGCTGATGAGTGTCCGAAGAAAGAGCAAAACTATAAGAAATCAGTAACAGGTAAATCTAGCCCGTAGCTCAGAGCTCCATCTACTGTACTTTAGCCAGAAAATGCTATTGTTCCATTCACAATGAAACATTTGACAGGAAGCATACAGCTGATTGAAATACTGACCTACTTTGTTCACCCTCTCACTTACTGTAAAACAACCAGATCTGAGAAGTTGAGATGACAATGACTAAGAAAAACATAAGATCACTGAAGGAAGAAGCAGCGAACATACACTATCAGGCATTGTTCTCATATTGCAAAAGCAGGGTTATCGTTTAGAGAGAAACTTACACTGCTATTTCTTTATCAAATCGCTATGGTCAGCTATCAGACTTCTATCTGGAACAGGTTTTATCGCAGTTGCTTCTAAATCAAGTCATGAAGGCCATGAATAGGATATTTTCCTTCTAACCACCCACTGGATTGATCAACAGCCTGATGCTAAAGCACCTTTGTAAATGGTGACTCAGAAATGGCGAAGAGATCATTGAACCGGAAGATGTTTGCGTCGAAAGAATGGGATGCCATCATGTATTTACTAATGATCGCACAGCTGGTTAGAGTGATGCCACAAATAAACTGTATTGTGCTGTTTATGAAAAATACTAACAAGTTGCTTTTAGTTTTGATATACAGACGACTAACTAAGTTTATACTAAAAGTATTTTGAATAAGAAAATCAACAAATCACGTGACAATTACAGCTGATATAAAGCCGCGGTGGAAAAGAATGTATCAGAACTACATTTTGTTGTTTGTAGGTAGTGTTATGCCACCGAAACTAGATCACTTTTTGGAAGAGCATGTATCAGTCCTTTCTGATGCAAAATATTCACTCACTCAGATCACGAAGAAGTGTCACATCGGGGTCTTAGAATTTTCAAGACAGGAATATTCTTTGTACTTAAAGCAACACAAGTCACGTGTACACAAGCTGCTTCCGAAACCTCCGTTCAAGCGTCGCATACTTCAAGCACATGGAGAAGATACAGGCATTCATATCATTCTAGTGTCCATTTCTGTGTGATGAGACTGTAGAAATAAGCGCAGGAACACCGCCGTATTCTTATATTAGATGGCTTAGGGAAGTCAAAGGAGGAGAGTTACATGCTTTAGATATGACAACGTTATCACGGAGCATTTTGCAATGGAAACCACTCTGCAAATCTATTGACAAGATGCGCGGTTATCAAAAAGAGTACTACCGGACATGGCAACATGGAATGTAACAACTTGATGTTGCTCCAAAAATGTTTTATAATAACGTGCTCAATTTCTGTACATAAAAATATGGCACAGTGACATAACACACATATTAGCCTTGTAATATAAAGCTGAGTGTATTGATTCAGAAGAGATGTGGTTAATGATGTGAATGTCATATTTGTGAGAGTTAAAAAATGTTGCATATATGGTTTGAAGTCAACATTTGTAAACATTGCCATCTCCTCTATTAATATATAAAAATACACTATATGAGATAGTTTGAACTGTTTTCATTTGTACGAGCGATCTTCATCATATATTATGTTTATGTCACAAGTGACACGTATTATGCAGCACATAATTAGATGTTAAAGTAAAATTTTGTCTCATATTGCGTATTCACAGTTTTGTGGGCAATGATAGCAAAAACCAACATAAAATTTAAAGAGTTAAAGACAGAAATCTCATACTTGCAATATATCAATGCTTAAGAGACACGTGCAAAGAAAAGTTTAAATCGTGATCAGAGGTAACTTAATATGAGCATATCCTAGCCAAGATATTTAAAAAAGATATGATATTTTAATTGATCTTGCAGTTTGTGGAGGAAAATTATATGTGTTTTACTGATTCAGTAAAGTCTAGGTGTATGTGTGCATGTAATTTATATTTTGGGAACATATAAAACGATATTTGGAATTCATATAGAAGCTATATGTCTAGAAAATATTTTCGCCATACTTCCTTCTCCTTGTTCATAAAAGTTTTTTTTTAATATCTGCCCAGCTGTGGAAATTCGTTTCATATGAACCAGAAAACAAAGACACCGCCGTAATATACAACGAACAAGTTAACTAGACCTCCCTTTTCATTTTAGTTATAAAACAGTTTTTAGAAATTCCATTAAAATTTGGATTACTTGGAAGTCGAGTCTTAATAATAAGGGTAGTTACGGGGAGTTTCTGAAAAATTCATACTTTAAAAAATATTATTTATTACGCTTCAATAGAAACAGCAAGGAAAATAAAAGAGTTTAATTGAATGACTGTCGTCATAGCAACGAAGGAACACGTGTTGTTAATATCATCCATATCAAATCCAAGCACTTCGTGTTTTTTGTTCATTTCATAAAATTACTACCAAGTTTAGAATTATAAGAGGCAGTTAAACAATATTCCTAATTATTTCAATATTACAAGTATAAAAGTTAGTTTTAATGCAAAACTACACAATGAGCCATCAGCACTCTGTCCACCGCGGAGAATTGAGCCCTGGATGTTAGCACTGTAAATCAGAAACTTACCGTTGACTCACCGGAAGGTCATATAAAGGTACTATTAATTTTGGGCCTGCATAGTTAGGGCGCTTTACTCGCAACCTAAGGGTCGCGGGTTCTAATCCCCGTCCCACTAAATATGCTCGCCCTTTCAGCCGCGGGGGCGTTATAATGTGATGGTCAATCCCTTTATTTGCTGGTAAAAGAGTAGCCCAAGAGTTGGCGGTGGGTGGTGATGACTAGCTGCCTTTCCTCTAGTCTTACACTGCTAAATTAGGGACGGATAGCGCAGATAGCTCTTGTGTAGCTTTGCGCGAAATTCAAAACAAACTATTAATTTTCCTGTTATTTGTTTTCTGTTAAAATTAGTATCACCTTGTTTTTATCGAAGAAATAATGATTTGTTTGTTTGTTTGAAATTAAGCACAAAGCTACACAATGGGCTATCTGTGCTCTGCCCACCACGGGTATCTAAACCCAGTTTCTAGCGTTGTAAGTCCGCAGACAAACCGCTGTGCCACTGGGGGCAGACATGATGAAGAAAAAAATTAAAAATTTAATTTTAGAATTATAATATGTGCTTAAATTGACATTGAAAACTTCTAACTACTTCTCTAGTATTATCCTAAAATTATATTTCGTTTTTTAAGCATAACATATTACGAAATGTTAATTTTTATAATAAATAAGTTTTCCATTTGGACCGCTCTCACTAAATCGTGTGAGAAAACTTTGAGACTTTGTTAAACATCATTTCTTATATTCGTGAGAAATATTTATTAATAGTATTATAAATTCCCCATTGTATTTCTAAAAAAATTTCCAAATCTATCTCCTCCCTCCCCACCCCCGCCGTGAGACAAAGGAATCTCGATTTACTACAAATGTAGAAAAAACATAGAAATATCTTAATTTTGCATGTAGCAATGAAAGAGTGTTTATTGTTATAATTACTTGTTTTTCACGCACTATAAAGTAAAACAAGAAGAACAAAGATGAACTCATTAGATAAATAAAATAGAATAAGCCTGGCTCACCTTTATCATCCTTAATTATTTCTCTACCCGGGGTGAACAGAGCACAGATAGCCCATTGTGTAGCTTTGTGCTTAATTAAAAACAAACATACCTTAATTACTTTACGCAAAGCTAGCTTATTTACAAAAGTGAGTTCTACCCTTCATTAGGTTTCTTCCAGTATTCGCGATTTTAGTTAGGTTGTGATAACTAATTATACATCTGTTTGAATATCTGATAAAGGAAGAAAAGGGTTCCTTGAAAAATGACTACTTTCGAATTCATATACACGTCCCACTGGAAGTTTATGTCGAATTCACTTACACGTTCTACTGGAAGTTTATGGCATAAGGAATTCATTTAAAGATAAAGATTGTGAAGGTACCACGATCCAAATAACAAGTTTTTAACATTGTAATAAACAGGAGCCAAGAAAGTAAATTAAAATTATACGTGCATCAGTTACTAGACTGACATTCACTTAAAAAAAAAGGTTGTGAAGAAGCATTAATATAAAACTAGTGACGGAATGCAGAAACATTTTATGTAACACGTGGAATGATCACGTAGCATTAGTCAAGATGTTGATATATGTACGTTTTGCTGGAATTAGTTGGTACAAGAGTTAAGGTCAGACTGGGTATTCGACAAAATGTAGATATACTGATTGAAGAAAACTAAACAAAGTGGCAATGGTAGAAACGCAAGAACCTTCGTATCATAGAGCTTCTATTTACAATGTTTTTATGTTAAAAAAGTAACTAAATATTGTCTTGTGTACGTTATTTGACTTCCTTTTTACGCTATAACAATAATAATCAGTCACATTTTAGAAATATATTCCTCTTAATATTGCATAAAATATGTGTAACAATCAATAACATTTTGTACTAAAAACAACGAAGTACAAATTGTAAAAAAAATGGTGAAGAGAGACTAACATAGCTTTAGATACTTAAACGTAAGTTTTTGTTTTATTTTGTTATAAAACAGTTCGTAAAAACTTCAGTTGGGGTTCATTTTTGATAATAAGTAAATTTTAATATAAGCCATGCACTAAACGACATATTATAAAGCAGTTTGAGAATGATTTAATGTGTTCTTGATTTAAGATAATGGACTTGTGATTACGCATATTCGTACAGTTGTGATGAAGGAGACACTAAACTATTAAAAATACAACCTGAAAAAAAAACGTCCCTTAATCATTCATTAATTACACTTATTTTCATTTTTTATAGAGTAAAGCAAGCAATGGGAGCCTGCGAAGAGAAATCATTTTACTTTGGTGGATTTGTGCTTAATGTACAAGAAGATGATACAATAAAATTAATATATATAAATTAGCAAAGTGTTTTCTAAATCGTGTCCTAGTAATACAAAGTGCAATCTCTGTTTTATGAAGATAAAAGTTCTGTACATCATGCTTTAGTATGTACACTGAGTGGTCACAAGTAAATAGACACCTAATTTTTTGTCATTTAACTGATTTATGCTAAATAATTTGTGTTCACAGAGCACTATATAAATGAAAATGGTCTGCATACTAATTATCTTGTGCTACAACGTGCGTAGAACTCAAGTTTCTCTCGAATTGTCAAATTTTGTTAGAGGAAGGATAGTTG